TTTCTCACTGTAGTAGACATTCTTCATCATCACCCCATCACGATTACAGTCGTCACCATCATCACTCTTATCATCAATGTCATCGTGAAGCTGAGGTCCAGAGAGAGGAAGAGTTTGTCCAAAGTGGCACAGCTGTGGGTTGTGGCAAAACAAAATCTCCCACACCAGTGGGTTTTTCCATTTCATCGACCTGAGACAGCATTATTGCGGAGGCCTAGAAATTTATAGCACTTCATGGAAAATATTTGAAATTATATGGTTTTTCCACATTTCCAAATTAGAAGCCTGGCTTAATGGCCAAGAGTCTTCAGCACAGAAACAAATTTTTCAGAGTGAAGATATTAAAACCAGAGGACATGCACTCTTCACTCTTTCCTCTGCATCCAGGCCCAGAACCCTTGAGGAGTACAGCAGTGGGGCTGCAGAAGGTCAGGAAGCTGCACCTTACGGAGACATGTGAGACCTGCCCAGTGAGGTTATCAAGCTTCTGTTCACAAGGCTAAGGGCCAAAAGGAGTCTCAAGATGGAATTGGGAACAGATAATCATAATAATATTAACACTTATGGAGCACTTACTAGGTGTTAAACACCATTTGAAGCACCTACATTCCCTCAGCTTTTTTGTAACTTTCCAACCCCATAAAATAGGCAAAATGATTACCCACTAGTGACGAACGTGAGGTAAAGCAAGTTTACAAATGTACTCCCCCAGGAAAGCTTTTCAGCTTCTCATTTGCTAAGATGCATTCATGACAGTATACCCAATTCACCTCCCCAAACCTCTCAATAGCTATCTGCACTATCTGTGCATCTTAAATGCATTTCATCCATCTCTCTGTGATGTAATCCTGTTCACCCTTCAAGGCTTAGCAAGAATGGTAACATCTCAGACTTTCCCAGATATAATTATCTATTTTGCCTGTTGACTCATTTGCCTGGAATTTCCACACTTACCATATTATATTATAGTTAATTGTGTGTATGTGCCTATGTGGGGGCTGTGTGTGTGCACATGTGCAAACATTTATGCAGGTGTGTACACTAGTGGTTAAGCTCAAGAAGAGCCAGAATTGTGTTTCATTTGCACAGAATTATTTGGTTGTTCAGGAATACCCCAGTCCCAGTGTAGGAGTACCAACCTCAAGTGCCATGAGACGTAAGAGAAGAGAAATAGACATAGGATTGCACATGGTACAATTTATTAAGGGAGTTACTGATGCAAGCATAGTCCTAGGTGGCCCCAAGACCAGTGGGGACCCCACAGTTTGGATCAAACAGAGGGATGTATTTATGAGTTGAAAAGGAGGATCTTCCTTCTAGCTAGAATGTACCTGGTTTATCTTAAGAGAGTATCAAACTGCAACCCCTGGAGCCAGGGCCCAGTTGTAAGGGCCCTCATATAACTCTAATGGTTTTGTCTATTTATGGTTTTCTGGGAAACTATGATGGAAAAATCAACTGGGGCTACCATAGCTATGCTGGTGCACTAGAGATAAACTAAGTATTAATATATATTAATAATATAATAATAAATGAACAGAAAGTTCAAATTAACTAGTTTATCTCTAGTGCACTGGCATAGTTATAGATCACCATTTCTAAGATTAAATTAATTTCTGAATTTAAAAAATATTTAATGATGCACAGTCTAACTTTAGAATTAGAAGTTTTACATGTGTAAATACCAAATAGTTTCTCTGTGTGAAAAACTAAAAGTGTAAATAAGGATCAAAATGTATAATTGATATTGTGAAATAGGAAGAAAAGGTCTAAAGGAGTAGGGGAAGTGGGAGGGGTAGGGGAAAGGAAAGAAGGGAAAAGAAAAAATATGAGAAAAGGGAAAAAATGATAACAAAGTCTATAAATAGGGAAGGGTAGAGGGGGTGAAGGGAGGGCAGGGGAATGGGGAAAAAAATAAGAGCTAAGATACATCATGTAAAGGTACAAGATCCCAGTGATGAATGTAACTATATTGTATACCTGAAATGTACCGATAAACTTAATGAAAAAAAAAAGAATCAGAGGTTTTGTTGTATCTTTGTTTTAATTGACAATTTTTAGATGATATAAAGAATAATTCATTATTTTTGTTTTTGTTGTTAATTTTTTATAGCAAAACATTTATTGGTACGTTTTAGGCATATATAATAACACTTATCATAGGGAATTTGCATCTGTACATGATACATTCCATCTCTTTATTAACCAGATTAGTTCACTAACCAGAATATCCCACTTATCTTAATCATGTCATGTAACAGAATTTTAAATACATGAGTCCATTGTATTTTAGCCTACTACTTCCTCCTTCTCCTACCTGATAACTACCAGTCTACTCTCTTTCTTGTTTCTATTTATTTGACTGGTCTTTTTTAGCTTCACATGTGAAATCATGCAGTATTTTTCTTTCTGTGTCTAGCTTATTCACTCAGAATAATGTCCTCCTAAGTACCTTTCAATAAATGAATGAATAAAGAAATTCTGAGAAATATGTAATTAAATATTATTCAGCATTGAAAAAGATGAGAGTCCTGTGTGATGGTGCGCAGCTGTAATCCCATACTCTGGGAGGCTGAGGCAGGAGGATGGCAAGTTCAAGCCCAGCATGGGCAACTAAGCAACTTGGTGAGATCCTGTCTCAAAATGAAAAATAAAAAGGACTGGGGATGTAGTTCAGTGTAAAGGCCCTGAGTTCAATCCCAAGAATGGAGAAAAAAGGTGATGACATTTACAACAACATAGATAAATATGGGTGGCATATTAATGAGCTGCAGCCTCAAATTATAAGGTAAAAGCCTGATTTCTTCTAATACCATCTTGAGATACAGGAAAATATTTCCTGATAATTTATATATGCATGTGTGGCTAATGAATGACTGAATGGATGTGAAGAAAGCTTACAACAATATACACAATATAATAAAAAAGAGAATGAAACCATGCATAAGAAAAGGAAGGCTGAGCAGGGGATGGTGTCAGGGAAATTAACATACAGAGACACCCGTGGTGGCCCCATGGACACAGCCACTGTGTGCAGGCTGGGATCCCAGCAGCCAAAATAAGAGGATACTGCTCCTCATTATTCCTACTATGTCACCATCACAATCAGCTCTTTGCTCTCCTGGTGATGAAACTAAATGAAATAAACTCTGCTATGACTCAAAGCTAAAGATGACAGATCAACTAAAAATATTTGGAGGAAATTAGAAAATAGAAGACCAAAAATCTTGCTATGTTCTTTTACTCAACATCCTAAGGCTCTCTATACTCAGTTACAGAACTGAACACTAACTTACTATTTACCCCAAGTCAGGTTCCTAGGCACACACATTACTTGTCTACTTTCTTCACAACCCATTTTTAAAAAATAGGAAAGGCAAAAAATAAATAAATGAATAAATAAATAAATAAATAAATAAAAATAGGAAAGCCTTCATTTTCAACTAGGCCAGCCTTTAAAATGTGCACAGGACAAACAGGGATTTGTGAACAGGGAAAGAGGGTGCCAGGCAGGAGATGCCTGGGTGAAAAGCCACTTTCAGGGAGTGTTATGGGCTGAATTGTGTCCTCTTAACATGTGGGTTTGTTGTGCCCAGATTTCGAGGTCCCCAAAGACCACCAAGGAGCCGATTCTGATGTAAACACACGAGGGTCGTTTATTCAAGCTCAAGCTCAAGCAGGGACTCCCAACCGCCACCGCCACAGCGGGTCAAGATTGAGAGCCCTGACTCTAAATCAGCAGGAGTTTTTATAGTGGTTACAGCAAGGTTCTAGATTGGCAATTAAACCTGATTGATTGTGCCTTGCACACCCAAGCTGCAAAAGGTTGCTAACTACTGATTAGCTGTTGCTAGGAGACGGCTGAACACTATCACATGCAGGTGGTCAAAATACATCTTGTGGTTTTTCTTAGAACTGAAATTTATGCCACCAAATTTTAGAATGGAGTCACTTAGGTCTCACAGGTTGAAGTTCTAACCCCCAGTATTCCAGACTGTGGCTATATTTAGAAGTAGAACCTTTAAAGAGGGAACTAAGGTACACTGGAGACATTACAGTGGCTCCTAATCCTATATGACCAGTGTCTTTATAAAAAAAGATCAGGGTGCAGACACAGAGAGAGAGAAGACCATGTGAAGACATAGGAAAGCAGCCTGCCAACACCTTGATCTTGGACTTCCAGTCTCTGGATTGTAAAAAAACAGATTTCATCTCTTTAAGCTGCCCAGTATTCAATGACAGTCCTAGCAAACTAACACCAGGAATAAATACAACAGCAGCTCTTTGTCCTGGGGAAGTATCTTTTTTTTTT